AAGGAAGAACACATAGATTTGAAGATGCTTTACTAAAGGAAAAGAAAACTTGAGGAAATGGCTGTGTCCTTAAAAGAAAAAAGAAAAAAAAAAAAAAAGCATGTGAGGAGATATAGTGACCCCCACCCCCCACCCCCGCCCCCCGGCAAGAAGAAAAAAAAAAGTGACCCAGAAGTTAAGAATGTAAAGAAAGTAAATAATTTCACTTTGGAATTAGAAATGCCATTGGACACAAGAAAGCAAAATTGACTCATTGATAATCAAATTGTTTATAGGATGAATATGAGTTTTTTCAGGGAATCTTCCCCACCTCTCCGTGGACAGTGCTCACAGGTCAGACTTCCAAAAACACGCTTTTCTCACCTTTATTAGCTCTTCCTTCTCTGTGCTGCACTGTAATTGCATTTGGTGCCTTTCTCTGTCCCTAGCCTTTCGGGCTCCTTCAGGGAGGGACCATGATCTTTGCACTTTTATCCCATAATCTAACCAGTTGGCCCTCATTAAGGGTTTGATGAATGTGTGAAATGGCAGTTCAGTCAGTTTGGCTTATTGGCTTACATTTTTGTTTTTTTAATCCGCATGCAGAAACCCAGTCTGTCACTAAAGTATCATAGAACATAGGCTAAGGTCTGGAGTAAGGGAATAGAGTTTACAGGTATGGAATGAAAACAAAACAAATTTTTTTTTTTTTAAATAAGGCGAAAGTAGTAGACAAAGGAATGAAGATGGCATAAAGTAAATAGTACATTTTAAAAGTAAACAAATTGTAGAATTAAGTGAGGAAAAAATTACTTTCCTAAGGTCATTCTAGAAGTCAACAGATTAGCTAAGAATACTTAAATTGCCTTTTATCACAAGATCAGATTACCTTAATTTCTTTTATTTTTTCCTCTTTTTTTTCCCTGTCCCATTTTCTTCTTAAAAAAAAAAAATCTTCACCATGTGCTGGACTTGTCAATGACATCTCTGGAAATCACAGTGCTAGGTATCATTAACAGATAAACCCTAAATCTCAGTGGCTTAAAAATGGAAGTTAGCCTTAGTTGGCACAGTGGATAGAGCGTCTGCCCTCGGACTGATGGGTCTCAGGTTTGATTCCCATCAAGGGCAGGTACCTCAGTTACAGACTCAGTCCCCAGACCTGGTCCAGCCCAGGTGGGAGGCAGCCAGTTGATGTGTCTCTCTCACATCAATGTTTCTCTGTCTCCCTCCCTCCCTTCTACTCTCTCTAAAAAATCAATGGAAAAAATATTCTCAGGTGAGGATTAATTTAAAAGAAAAGGATGTTATTCCTCAATAAAGTCTAAAATGATTGGGACTGGCTTTCATAGACTTGCAGAAGTCTGGGAATTCTGAAAGTCTTAATTTTATGGTCCTACCCTCCTATAAAACCTTGAAATTATCTCCATTCAGCTGGCAGACAGGGTTCATCCAGGGACCCCAGAGAGGTACAGAGAGATTTCTGTGGACCAGGGCCACAGTGGAGCACATCACTTTATATCCTAGTAGTTAGCTCAGCCACACAACCTCACCTAATTGCAAGGGAGCCGTGGCTCTGATAGGGAAAAATGGGTTTGGTGAATAACTCGTCTGCCCCTGACACAAACTCCAAATTATTCCAACAATAGATCATCATGATCTCGAGCATTGTAAGTAGCCCTCTCCTTACTTTCTCATTTATCCTTGCAATGATCTGATGGACTTGGATGTTAATATAGTACATCCAATTTAGTAACCTAAGGTCACGGAGCTCTGAATAACAATGCAAGATTTGTACCCCATTCTGACCCCAAAAGCCCACTGTACTATGCTGTATTTCTTCAACTAAATCATGTTTAAGTGAGATTATAACCTGACTGAATTGTGATTCAACTTAAACGATCACGTAACTGCCACACACCAGTAGAGTCCATCCTTTGTGATGGTTTCCCAGTTGAAGTGATGTTTTTCCAGTTGGAATGATGGATTTATGCTAATTCACCTAAACTCTTTCCCATTCTCCTGTTTAGCACGGATCTGAAGGGATCACTGCAGCCCTCGTGCAGGAAAGGAGTGATACACATTGTCTCAGCAGTGCTAACAGACCACCACAAATTTGCATTTCAGAGTGAGCATATGTATACCTCACACTTTAAAAATACATTTTCAATGTAGTTTCATTTTATTTTCACAACCCTTTGAAAAGAAGACATCCAATAAATCCACTTATAAATATTAGCTGTTACTTTGTGAAAGCATTACATATATATCTACACATTATATATATAAATTATAAAGTAATATATATATATATATATATAACTTCATTTGATCCTCAGTGTCATTTAATGAGTTGTGTTTTTATTACCAGTATTTTATTGATGTGGAAACCAAGGAACAGGTTAAGCAATTTAACTGAGGCACCAGGCATGAACAGTAAAGGAAATAAACCAGGGCAGGTTACTAGTGAAAGTCGCCTGTAATTTTCTCAAAGTTGGCCTGGCTGGTATTGCATGAGCAGTGGTTAGAGCATCATCCCACACACCTTGGGGTCAGGGCACATACCCAGGTTTTGGGTTAGGTCCCCTGAAAGAGTGTGTATAGGAGGCAACCGATTGATGTTTCTCTCTCACATAGATGTTTCTCTCTCTAGAATCAGTGAAAACAACAACAACAACATATCCTTAGGTAAGCATTAAAAAAACAAATTGTCACAAAGTTCAAGTTCATAGGTCCTATTTATTCTTTGTTTTGCCATTATCCTTGTCATGTATTATTCCTCTTCCTCAAAATGCTTACCACTTGGGGCTCTCATGACAGTCTCTATTTTTGCTACTTGGCAACTTCATTCATTACACCTTTATTCCATGAACATGTTGATTTGGGTATGTAAAACCTAATCGCTCCTATTATTTCACTAAAAAAAGTGCCTTGCTGTTGAAAGCATGAAGCAAAAAAAACAAAACAAACAAGCAAAAAATCTGTTTCTTAAGCTAAATCCACACGTTATGGAGAGAAATCCTTCATTTCCTCTTAAAAAACAAGAAAGCATATATTCTATACGTTCACCTATTTGAGAGATTAAAGACACATCAATTTCCGTTCTAAGAAAGATTTAACTTCGTATCTTCTGTCAAAGTTTTGGTGCGTAACACAAAACTGGAGACAACTTAAAAGAACGCTCTTGAAATATTAGTCATTTTAAGTGACTCACTCTCTAAAAGAAATTATTTGGGGGGTCAGAGAAAGGTGGCTTCACTATCTCAGAAATCAAACCCTGATCAACTTGTTCATCCCTTCAGGCTACTACGCATGTGCCGAGGTGGAAACTGGGGGGAAATGAAAAACACCGACATTGAACTGGTCCCTGGAAACGCTCCTCCTGGCCTATCCTTTACCTTCTAAATGCTGGAACTTAAGGAAAAAATGTAACTTGTACAACAGTCTTGCGGCTCAGTGTGTCCATCAAACAACAAAGCGCTGGGAGCGGGGGGGTGGGGGGGGGAGCCCCTTGGCGTCTGCCGCCGGCACATGCCACCGTCCGCAGCGCTCGAGGCTGAGTCTTCGGAGGCTCCTTCGTCCAGTCCGCCTACAGCGGGCCCCTGGCAGGTGCTCGGCAAAGATGCGTTAGGGAAACCGCTGAGGCCCAGGCGGCCTGCCTGCACTCAGGGCGGCGCGAGTCCGAGTTCTCCCGCTCCCCACCACAGGCCCTCGGTGCCTCTGGCGCCTGGTTGCGCAGGGCGTGCGGGCGCTCACCGGGTCTGCGCCGGACACCGCGCGGGGGAGCGGGGCCGGGACCTGTCACCCTGTGCGCGCGGGGCTTTGAACTTCCCCCAGCGGCCGGGGTGGAGGCACTACGGGTGGAGGCTGGCAGGTCTGCGCGGCACCTGCAATTTCCGCCCTTCTCTCCCCCCTCTTCCTGGCCTGGGTCCGGCCCGAGCCCGGCCGGAGGCCACCCCACCCCTCCCCCCGCCCCCCCACCCCCGACGGCGGGATCGGCAGGGGCCCTGGGAACGACCACGTGCCTCAAACCTTGTTTCCAGGGGGAAATAGGCAACGATCTGTACGTTTTAAATCACTGGACGTGAGGTCTTCTGGTGCAAGTTTTATTTGGGTATTAAAATCTAACCGACGAGAAATGAGTCGGTACGCGGGGCCTCGAGGGTCACCCCAAACCCTTCCTCCAGAAACACGTCTTTCCCGCTCGCGAGCAGGAGGCGTTCGGGACGGGGCGGTGCCTCCTCCCTGGGCTCCCCTCCCGCCCCCTCCGCTCCCGGGCCGTCTCCCCCCCTTCTCCCCCCCGCCCCCCCGCTTCGCGCCCACCCATTGTCCCCTCGCAGCTGTCCCTGCGCGCAGATCCCCGGCTCCCGATTGGAAAGCCTGCCCGTCACTCAGCCCACACTCGCCATTCCCGGCCTTAAATGGTCTAAGGCCGAGTTCCGGGAGCAGCAGGTAAAGCCGCGCGGCGGGAGGGAGGAAGGGCGGGGCCGCGCGCCCAGGTCGGCCCGCCAGGCGCGGGGAGGGGCGCGGGCAGCCGCGGGCCGGGAGGGGGGGAAGCGAGAGGGGGGGAGCGTGCCCCAGGGCCCCTCCCTCACCAGGCAGGACCGCGCCCTGGCGCCCCCCCTCCCTCCCCAAGTCCCGATCATAATGCCCAGCTGCGGAGCCACTCGTTATCCAAACCCCCGACGGCCTGGGGGTCAGTTACCGCCGCGAAGCACCGAGGGCAGGGCAGGGCGGGCCGGGCCATGGGAAGGGAGTGGGGGGGATGTGAAAGGTCCCGGATGTTGCTGAACCAGAGCCCCTTCTCGAGGGAGTGACTGGCGCAGGCGCAGGCCGGCCCGGGAAGCTGGGGTGGGGGTGGGGAGACATTTCCCCCTCGCAGGTTGGGACTAAGTGAGCCGGCGGAGGCTGCTGAGGCTCGAGGGGAAGACGAATTTGGGAGAAGTGGTGGGGCAGGCGGGGGGTGGAGGAGTTTCCCGCCCCGGAGCACTCGGGGCTGGAGGAGTCGGAGGCTGAGCGGGGAGGAAGGCGGGCTGGAAGCGGGCGAGGGCCCGTGCTCCTCTGCTCGCCCTCTAGCGCGGGGAGCGGCGGTTGCGCTGGGCCCCCAGAACTGTGGGCACCAATCAACGGTTGCCATAGCAGCGTTTGACGTCATCGTGCGTGTGGTGCCCCTGCTGCCGGGGCTGGTGATTGGAGGAAACCCCGTGTCTGCGGAGCGGCTGTAGCCTGTGAGCAGCGAGATCTAGGGACAGAGTCTCAGCCTCGCCGCCGCTGCCGCCCAGAGACTGCTGAGTCCCCGTCCGTCCGCCCGCCCGCCCGCCCGCCGCCACCCACTCCGGCCACAGGTAAGGGACCGGCCGCCGCGCCCTCGCCCCGCTCCTCGTGCCCCAGTCCGTCTTCGGAGGGCGCGGGCTCCCGCCCCGCTCCGCATCCCCTCGGCCCCGCTCGCCCGGAGGCAGCGGCGCGGGGCTGAGGCGGAGTCTCCAGGCGGAGACGGGCGGTGGCTTTCCTTCCGCTGGGCTCGGGCGGGCGGCTAGCGGCTGCCTCGGGCGACTCGCTTCCGGATCGGCGCCTCGGCCCCGATCGGTGCCCGTTCCTGGGTCCCTCCCGGGGGGTGGGGGGGTGGGAAGGGCGCCCACACGCGAGATCCCCGGGGACCTGCCCGGCCGCTGCTCCCCGGGTGGCGGAGGCACCACCGGCCGCGATCCGTTCCCTCCGCCGCCCTGGGCCTCCGGGGTCCCTTCCCCCGCGCGCCCGCTCCCCCTTCCGCCGGCGGCGCCGCGTGTTGCAGTGGCGCAGGTGAGGCCGCCCCCTCCCCGGCCCCCCGCCCGCTCCCCGGCGCAGCCTCCGCGCCCCGCGCTGCGGCACCCCGCCCTCCCCCACCCGGGCGGCGGCTGGGCCGGGCCTGGGGACCGGGTCCCGAGCGGAGGCCGCCCGGGGGCGCCCGCCAGGTAGAAGGGGTGCGGCCGCGCTCCGCGCGGGGGTGAGCGGGCCCCGGGTGGGGCTCGCCTGACACCTAGAGCCGAATTTCCTGGGTTCCAGGGGGGCCCTCGAATATTCCGGGTGGGGGATGGGACCGGCCTTTTCTCCCGGCGGATGGGGGCTCCGAGGCCAGGTAGGGGCGGGGCGGATGGCAGGGCGGCGGGCGGCCCTTCGCGGTCGCCTCCCGGGCCTCGGCGGGCTGGAGCCGGGGGGTCCCCTGCCCTGCGGGGCGGGGAAGCCGGAGCGTAACAGCCGGCGGTGGCGGGGCTCGCCTGGGTGTGGCTCCGGCTCCCTCCCCCACCGGCTGCAGCTGTCGGGCCCTCCCGACTGGAGCCCCGCGGTGTCGGGTGGCGCCGGGGACGCCGGTGGGAGAGTGGGGTGTGTCCGGGGCCGGCGGGCCGCGGTCCGGCCTCTGCCCCCGGGGCGGGCGGCGGCTCCCCGGTCCCCGGGCGAGGGCGAGGGCGAAGGCGAGGGCGCCGCTCCGCCCTCCCGCCCGGTGGGGGAAATTCACCCTCGGCGGTAGGCTGGGCTCCTTGACACGGATCCGCCATGACAAAGGGAGAGTCGGGGGCTGGTGCGGAGGCACCCGCTTGGGCGGAGCCAAGGAGGGGGAGGCCGCCGAGGGCGCGGACCCGCGGGTGTGCGCTTTCCAGCCGCGGTCCGCCGGCTTTCCGTTCGCCCGGCTGGACGTTTGACGGCGGTTAAGGGTTAAATGGGTGCGGCGAGGCGGCGGGGCGCTGGTTGCTCTGAGCAACCCAGCCCACTTCCCCTTGCATCCGAGCGGCGGGCGAGGAGCCTGCAGGCTGGTTCTAGGTGACCTGTCGTCGGAAGCAGCGCTGGTCAGAGAGGGTTTCTGAGTTCCTGGGGTGGGGGTGAAGGGGTTATGCGATCACAGATGTTAAATAGTTTTCAAATTGAACCACTCTACCTTGTTTCCAAGCTGATTACTTGTAGGAATATTGGGGACCTGTTCCCGATTTTTTTTTTTAAGTATTGTAGGATTTTCCTGGGAAGATACGGTATTGGGGAGTCCGTTCCCATAGTGAGTGACAGTGGCTCTTCTGTTCACCTTTTAATAATTGCACTTCAGACCGTACATTTTTATTTAAAGTCATTTCTTCTGTGAGATCACTGTATGTTTTAGTATCTTTTTGTGTTGTTTTGGCACTTTTCAAAAGGACCTAAGGGAAAATATAACGAGGGTAAATTGAAAAGTCTAGGGAGCTTTAAAATGAGAAGGAATTAGATGGGAAGTCATGTTAGGGCAATTAATTTTGACTATTAGAAGGAGAATGAAGTAATTCTATATTTAAACTGGAACAATGACATCAGAAGCTCTGGTCACCCTGGAAGCACTTCATATGTAAATTTTAGTGTTCACAGTAAGAGTGGACGTTTGAGGATATATATATTTATATTTTTTAAGCATATATGCATATAACAAGGTACAGCTAAATGCGACTTCAGGATCAGTTATTGGTTATTTTGTATTTAAAATATATTAAAACAAGCAACTTGGTCATTTCTTCCAGAAAATTGTCATTCTGAGGTGGGAGTAATACCAACTAAAATTTAAACTTAAAACCTCCTGAAAAGAAATTAGTATTATGAAAGTAAAAAGACACGAATTACACATTAAACTGATATTAAGTAAGGAAATGTATTGTTCTTCATAGGCAGTGTTTCCATTAAAGAAAAGCTGCTTAATTTTTGATCACTTAGTGATATTAGAAACTGGAGTTGAAATTTTGGCCAAGATAAGGGTTGGTTTTAAGGTGGCCTCTGTGCTTTGACCTTTATGTGAAATTAGGATCTTCTGAACAAAAATATGGTAATTTTAATTTTGCTGAACTAATGTTAATGGCTTTAAATTTCCCTCTGTATGCCATTTTTAATTTTTCTATTCTGATCAGTATGTGTGTGTGTGTGTGTGTGTGTGTTGTGGGTGTCTGCATTAAATTCCTCCAGTGAAGAATCTTCCATAGGCAATTAATCTTCCATAGTCAGTTAAATTTGAGGTGTTAAATACAGGTATTTTTTTAAACAAAAGATATAATTTTGAGTCTGTTCATTTTGATGGAAAAAATATCTAAATGCTTCTTTTTTCCTTTTTTTTCTTCTGCAGAACATCCAGTCATGGATAAAAATGAGCTGGTGCAGAAGGCCAAACTGGCCGAGCAGGCTGAGCGATATGATGACATGGCAGCCTGCATGAAGTCTGTAACTGAGCAAGGAGCTGAATTATCCAATGAGGAGAGGAATCTTCTCTCAGTTGCTTATAAAAATGTTGTAGGAGCCCGTAGGTCATCTTGGAGGGTCGTCTCAAGTATTGAGCAAAAGACAGAAGGTGCTGAGAAAAAACAGCAGATGGCTCGAGAATACAGAGAAAAAATTGAGACCGAGCTAAGAGATATCTGCAATGATGTACTGGTGAGAATCAAACATTCATTCTAGCCTCACTGTACTATAGGGTTACTATAATGAATATCAATTATGATACTGTTAATTTTCTTTTAAAAATTGAGTGTTCAATATTTGAAGTCTTCAGGGTGTCACACTAAAAGATGTTAAAACAATTGTAGTTAAGTTTGCATAAAATAAATGCAGTAATTTCAGTCACTCCAAAGAGACTATAAAATAGACTATGGTAGTGTTTTTTTCAGTAATTGAAAAGTTTAGTAGCATTACCATTTCAGTTATGGTTGGAATATTTGTAGTATTTCTAGAGCTAATTTTAAAAAATGTACATATGTGGATATAATAGCTTTACATATCTTGGTGTTTGTTTTTTTAATTCTCACCAGAGGATATGTTTTTATTTTAGAGAGGGGGGGAACATGTATGTGATAGAGAAACATGGATTGGTTGCCTCCTGTGCATGCCCCCACTGGGGACTGAACTCCAAACCTAGGTATGTGCCCTGATCAGGAATTGAACCCACAACCTTTGGCTGTATGGGACGATGCTCTAACCAACTGAGCCACTTGGCCAGGGCTACATATCTTGTTTTTATATAAAAGAGATGTAATAGTAGACTTAGTGTAGACATACTACCTACCCTTCCCTGGGTTGGCCATCATAATGTTAATATGAGTCAGCCATACAGAAAACACTGGCTTCAGTTGCTTTTGCCTCTCCCTGAATTTGTGTTGGAATTCAACTTTGAACACTGACAACCACAATAAAAGGTTATGAGTAACTCAAGCTTGATTTTTCCAGGTTCAATATCTACTGTGTTGTAGCACTGCTTCTCTATCAAGCTTTAAAGATATAATGAACACTATAGACTTTTGTTAAAGTTGTGATGGTATTATGATTTTACACTAGTCTTTAGTTGCTAATGGAATAGCTTCACTTCCTAAATTATGAGTACATTTCTCAAATGGTCTTTTTAAAGAACAATATTTTTTATCTTAATTAACATGGACTCATGTGGTATCTGCCTTGGGTGCTTTTTTTTTTTTTTTTTTTTTTTTTGCTTTTATTTGAAATCTTTACATTGATAGCTGTCATTTCTGAGATGAGAAAATTCCATGATTTATCGAGGCTAAATGACAATGCCTTTCTTGTGACTGATTTATCTTATTGCAAAGATAATATTTAAGATTTAATAATAATCATGGTTTTCTATAATTAAAAATGTGTTGGGCATTCTCTCCCTTGCCCTCTTTACTAACTAGTTCAGTGATGGCGAACCTATGACACGCATGTCAGAGGTGACACGCGAACTCATTTTTTTGGTTGATTTTTCTTTTTAACAAAATGTATAAAATAAATATATAAATATATGAAATAAATATCAAAAATATAAGTCTTTGTTTTACTATGGTTGCAAATATCAAAAAATTTCTATATGTGACACGGCACCAGAGTTAAGTTAGGGTTTTTCAAAATGCTGACATGCCGAGCTCAAAAGGTTCGCCATCACGGAACTAGTTAGTACCTGTATACTTGTTAATCAATTTTGTTCATTCTGGTGGTTTTCCTCCGATTATTACATCTGCTAGATCAAGTCATTTTTATTTTGGTTTCAAAGGGTTTGTTACAAGTTATAATTTCCCTTGAAACAAGTCAATTTAGTATTAAAGGGGGACATGGTAACATTTACCTTCTGCTAACAAGCTTATTTGCTATTCCAGGTAGGTAGGTATTTGCATATTTTCCACACTGGATAAAAGCTGGTGTGAGGATTTTCCTAGGAAAAGCTTGTAGCAGTTTTAATTTTGCTTTCCTTTGATTTCCTTATCAAGAAAAGTATTGCATAGGATCAGTGGATGAGAATAAGATAATTTCTAAATAGCTCTTTGTAGATACGATTATTAAGAGGGTTTGGTATTGATCACTACCCTTATTCTTCAGAGTAGCACTGACTTCTCACCAAGTTCAACTGAAATTTGCACTTTGAAAGTTTAGATAAAAGAAAGTTTAATTCCTTGGCCATACAAAAGGCTCGGAAAATTCTAAACAAGCTTTTGCTTCCAGCCCTGGTCTTTTCATGAGTAAAACTCTTTAAGTGATCTTTGTATAGCTCATGCCTCCTAACCCATAGTAGAGACACTCACACTTTTAAGTAAATGAGCAAAAGGGCTTCTTTTGGAAAAGATAGTAGAACTAGGTCAGCAGCACTGCTAATTTTTCAACTTGGGAAAATTCGATATTTACAGATAATGGGGGTTTTTACAAGCAGGCTTCTTGACCGGTAATGCTGACTCTGGAAACGTCTTGCATAAAATTCTCCGTTTCTAGTAAAATGGAATAATAAAATATAGCAGAACCGATATTTCTCCCAGAGAAAAACATCTTTGAACTGATGAACTTGATGTTTAGTAAAAATGTGCTTTAATTATATACTGCATGCCCCCTAATACCCCAGCATGTGCCCTAACCAGGAATGCAATTGGCAACCTTTTGGTGCACAGAACAATGCTCAACCAACTGAGCCACACCGGCCAGGGCTGCTTTAATTATATTTTAAAATCTTACACATAATCAATTATAATTGTATTACTCACTTTTTTCTGAACTTATTTATTGATTTATGAGAAAAATAAGCAGGTAAATCCTCTTTCAGAATTAATGTCATTGGCTGGTAGTGTCAGTGATAAGCAGAGTTCATTGTACTGTTGAGCACTTAGCTAAGAAAATACCCTCTTTCTTCCCATATAAAGGAGCTAATCTCCAGAGTTCTAACTTTTTCTGAAATGAAGAGCTCTTTAGTCGTTAATAATGGTTACTACCATTCTGTTCATGTGCATTTGTCAAGTGTTTAATATACCAAGCAAACAAAGTAGGAATAGGAACTATGTTACTTTGTACAAGAGCTGAAGACCATTACTGGGAGAAATGGTCACTAGCATATTCTTCCAACATGGGCTCTTTATGTAAAAGAACTTGGGGCTCTTCTCTTGCATCGGTAATTTGAAATGGCACTATGTGAACTAATGCAATCTGCCTTTCCTGCCAGCTCATAGACCAAGTAGGCGAGGTCTTGGTAGTAGCGGAGGAATTTAACACTAGTGATCCCTAATAGCTTTTCTGCATAAATCCACAAAAAGAAGCCAAAGTTTGAATAGTTTTGTCTTGACTGATGAAATGAAAAACAAAATGAGGAAAGACATATTAGGAAACTTAATTCACAAAGAAGAATTTAGTGGTGTAAAAAGAGTTCCATATTTTGAGTCAGACCCAACTTTTTACCATGTAATAGCTTCTTGGCCTAAGTAAATCCCTCAGTCCTCTGAGAAAACTGAACTCAGTTAAATGCAGGTAATATCCACCCCCCATAGGATTGTTGTGGAGAATAAGGTAAAAAAAAGCCCTTAACTCCTTCTTGGCCCTGTTTATCTCAGGTTGGGGATTTTGTTTAAAAGCAGTGAAAGCAATATGAGCCTGCCTATAATAGTATAGGGGTCTCTTAACTCAAATCCAAGAATGAGATTTGAAAGATCCAAGAAGCCTTAAAAACTTTTTTCAGGTGCAGAGGGTTCATTACTAGCCAACAAGTTTTCAAAATTTCATTTAAAAATTAAAACCAGTATAAGGCAAAGAATGGCTTCCAGAGATCTCCTAGGAGGTGAAGCAGTAAACAAGTGAATCTAATATTTTAATATTCAGCAACAATTGTTGATTAATAGTAATGGTGATTCCCATTTTATTATGCTTCTCTGCGTTTTTATTTGCCCAGGGCCATTTTGAGATGTTGCTGGACACTTGTTTTTACCTCCAGCCCACAGAACCAGCATTAAGCAGGAGCAAGCTAGGGAACCAGGCAGCTTTGGGGTCCTTTCTAGTCTGAATATATTAAAATGTATCTTGGACTTAAAAACTACTGCTTGGAGTTGTAAGCCAAAAATCACTAGGCACTCATTTATTGGATTAAGGACTTCTCAAAAGAATTCTGTAGTGTGAGACATCTTTATGACTAAAGCATTTTCACGGTAATTACTAAGTGTTCCACTGGTGAGGTGTTTTGTACAGTTGAGCAGTCTGAGGTATAGGAAGTGGAAATCAAAGAAAATAAAGGAATGAGAATGGAAAGGTCGATGTTTGCTATTGGTGGGAAGGGAAAGAAGAACCAACAAATTGGTTACTTACCCTTTTTTTTGCAGATAACAATCTATAATAATAAAAGTGTAATATGCTAATTAGACCTGACGACTTTCCCGATGAAGCCAGGGCTGAGCAGGAAGCGGGGTCCCAGGTGCCTGCAGCCAGGGGAAGAAAGGCCTACTCTTGCACGAATTTAAGTCTTTTACTGCTTCTGGTTGCTCATTCATTCAGACTTGATATGCTCTATGCTGCATACAGCTTTTATTCTTACCTTTCATTAAATAACTGCTTTCCCATCTGCTCAGTCTTCCCCCAAATTCCCTACAAACAAAGCCTTTGGCTCTAGTTTGGTGTTCTCACTGTCCCTGATATACAAGCCATTGCTAATTCCCATCTTTATGGCATAAGGGTTTCTGCTTTATTACTCTGAGTTAGAACTTACTTTAATCTTGATGTCTTCTGTTGTTTTCAACTGTAGAGGATGGCTTCATTCCTTCATTCTCCTTGAAAACAGGATATTGAATTTGTAAAGTACACTGAAGGAATAGGATATGCTTAATATTTTTTAGGTAGTACAGATTTAAATTAGGTTTGGGAGGAATAGTGTGTTTAACCACCATATCTCAATAGTTCCCATTGTACTAGGTACATTTCTGTGCAATGGTCAATCTCCATTTGTTCTTTAGTGAATAATTCCCTGAAATGATGAACAGCTGATACCTTTGTGAAAATTGCTGTGCAGTAGCAGTTGTCATTTGTTATTGATTTATTAGATTTTCATTTTCTGTTAAGGTATAATGTGACATAGAAGTGACATGATATAGAATAGTCATATCTTGGCAGAGTTCACTAATTTCTTGCTATTGACATTCTTTTGCTAT